TTTGCAAGTTGGGGCAAGATATTGGAGGTTAAGGTTTAAAAAAAGGAATAAATTGTTTCTCTGCCTGTTCAACATCTTACCGTCTCACTCTTTTTATAAATATCTGAACCCCACAGCTCTCAAATCCACTGTTACGGGATGTTTATTATATTTCAGTTGTAATATTCTATTTAAGTAGATGATTAGCAGTATATTTGGATGTAGATTTCAAGACAACACACCAGTAAAGTACAAAATAACCCTAGTGTAACTGGATGTAAGGTTACTCTGTATTTTTAATTATTCTGTGCATCTTCAATATTAGAACAAGTATGGAATATTTTCACAAAATAATTATCAATTATTTCTCCAAAATCAAAGTGTCAGTCCAAAAGTCAAATATATTACTTTATTTAACAACTTGGTATTTGAAAGTCCAATTCCAGTGAGTACTTCATTCTCTTTCTCTTTTTAAAGATTTATTTATTTATACATGCAGCACTGGGGTAGAGGCCAGAGGTGTAGGGGCAGTGAGAGGATTCACCAGAGACAGAGGGGGGGTGGGCAGAACAGGCGGACTGACAAAGTACACTGCTGAGGGGAGCAGCAGGCAGGTCAGGAGAGGTCTGCCACACCATGTGGGTCACCTCCAGGGCAGGGATCGAACTCATGCTGAAGTGGCTTTAGCGTCTTACTGCTATGCTTTAACCTGCTGCACTACCAGGGAGGGCCCTGGTTCTTCTCTTGATCTTAATCAATTCCTCTGTGCATTTGACTTTGCTCTGTGACCTCCAAAATATACCTTGCTGCATTTTCTTGTCTGTCCTACTCTTCTTCTTTTGTCATTGCCAGTGCCTGTTCCTCAACCTTTTTCCTCCATAATGGTTTCATTAAGGTCTGTTCTCAAGTGTCTCTTCTCTTTGATGTGTCTTCCATTAGGAAATATATTTGTTATTCTAAGTTAAAACTGCAGCCTTTGCAGCCACTCCTTCCTCAGTGTTCTCTTCCCTAACTTCCTAGACCTGTTGTCTGAAGATCAGTTTAGTTCAGTGAACATTTGAGTCTGACTATATACCAAGCTTTGTGAGAGCTGTACTTAATGTGCTGTACTTAAGTACCCAAAGCCAGTCCTTATTTACTGTCTTCACCACCACTACCACTACCTTTGGTCAGCTGCAGTCATCTCTCTTTTGGACACTTCTGACCAGCAAACATTAACTGAGAAGCCACTTGTACCTAATAGCAAGCTGTGTACTAGGGATACAAATAATTAGGTTTACATGTATATGCAGTATATAGGTAGTTAGATCTCAGATTGCTGTACCGTAAGAGTGAATTATATTAGATATGTGGATAATTTTGTGTAAACAAGCAGTCTCATCTCCTACAAAGAATGGAGCTACCACAGCCATACAGCAATACTATATGGAGGAAAGCCTGCAAGCTTCATTCTCACATTGTTATTTTTCCCTGTCTCCTATTATCTTGACTTACTTCAATGTTTGTGTTGCTCTCATCTCCCCAGTGTTTGATAATTATTACTGGAAAGCTACCAAGAGTGCAAGATTGGATCTGTGGGAGATGATATCAACAACCATTAATTGAATGGTTGTATAACAGATTTGTAAAAGATAAATCAGGTGTAGTACTGGAGGAATCCATTGTGAGTAGGTCATAGGTCAAGGATGACTCCACAAAAGTTAGCTGCCTGAGTAGGGCTTTCAATCAGGTGATACACAGAGAGTCTAAGAAGCAGCATGTATCAGAACATCAAGGTACATGTATTGGTAACTCTTGGCCCTGAAGTTTAAAGTATAATTGGTAATTTCTTAGCCCTGGATTATAATAAACAAGAAAAGCTTTGACTGGAGGAAATGAAGCCAAAGAAATAGATGTTGTTTAAATATCAAGAAGGGTTTAGTTTGCTACTCTAAGCAACATGGATTGTTTGGAGCTACTGAAAGAATTGAATCAGAGAAGTAACATGGGTTTACATTATAAAAAGAAGTGCTACTTTCAGTAAGAGCTGGCCTGTATTCCATTATGTCTATGTAAAACCTCAGCTGAAAGTCTAGTATTTGTGTGATGAGACTTGCTGCTTCCACCATCCACACTTTGGCATCAGACACCCACATGACTCTGTCACTATGTGTCTGCCCTGAAATATCCATCAGAGACTTTCCATGGCTTTCAAAACCAGTATCCTGTCACTCATTATAGTTCCTTATCTTTATTTTTTTCTTAACACTTTTAACAGTGTGGAAAGTTACATATTTTTTCACTCATTTCTGTGTCCTCCCACTGGATTGTACACTTCTTGGGAACACATGTTTTGTTCATGCTAAATATTTTGTGCTTGGCACATAGTAGGTGATTGGTATTTGTTGACAGAATGGGGTCTTCTCTTGACCCCTGTGCTTTCTGCTTTGGACAGGGCTCTATTTCACTGTTCACAGTCTCCTGCTGTGTATCCTGAAATCCTGATTCTCATTCAGACTCCATCTTTTCTAAAAACCTTTCTTTTAAATCCTTGCTTTTTGAAAGAAGAATAGTCCTGGATTGCCCAGGATATGGTAAGTGCAAATGATTACTTGTAATGACAAGTTAGTGATTAGTAGACAAATATTCAGTGAATAGTCATAAGTTAAAATTCATTTAATTTGAGAAATATAATAATTGTGATTTGAACTTGATTATAAGTCAATAAGATTAAGGGAAAATAGCTAGGAAAACAGTTCCCAGAATTTGTGATTATACAAATTATGCACTCTACAGAAAATATATCACTTTTACATTTCATTATGTGGAGGTGAAGTTTCTGAAAGAAGAGAAATAAGACTAAAGAAATATATTTTTTTTAAAGATTTATTTATTTGTGCATACAGAACTGGGGTACAGGCCAGAGGTGCAGGGGCGGTGAGAGGCTTCACCAGAGATAGAGTGGGGAACAGAACAGGCAGATTGACGAAGTACACTGCTGAGGGGAGCAGCGGGCGGGTCAGGAGAGGTCTGCCACACCATGTGGTCACCTCCGGGGCAGGCGGGAATCGAACTCATGCGGAAGCGGCTTTAGATTCTCACTGCTGTGCTTTAACCCACTGCGCCACCAGGGAGGGCCCTAAAGAAATAATTTAAGGACAGCATTAAACATGCTAAAATTTCATATTTACTTTTATTGTTTTTTCTTTATTTCAATAATAATATTCATTTTGAACATGTAACATTGAAAACAAGTGTCTAGAAATGTTTTGATTTGACTGTTTCTACTTTTTAAGGTATTACAGTTTAATTTGAATTGTCAAAAATATCTGTTATGGGACATTTCTTTTTAAAACAAATGGAAAGAGATAGAGACATGATCTTAAAAGTTACTTCTTTAAATATCTTCCTTGTACATTTAAACATCAGTGTCTGCTGATCTGTGATCACTTTAAATAAAGAATTTCTTCTTTTAAGTCCTGGGTAAGGCCTTTGTATGAAGTTACCTAATTTCTCACTTCTGAACCAGTATTCTCCTAACCGTAAGTGTAAAAACAAATATAAGTAACTACAAATAGAGAAATCATCTAATTGTTGGAATTTCAAATTCAGAAATAAACCATGAAAGCAAATAAGTCGGATTATCAGACATAAAAGCAAAAATTATCATTAGTCACAATTATACACTTAAATACTGGGGGACAGCTGGGGAAACATTTGGGGGTGCCAGGAGGGTTTGCAGAAATTGTCTTTTGAATCAAAATATGAAATGTAAGAAGCTGGGATGATGGATATAAGCTTTTAATTTAGGGTCACTCTCTTATCTACAACATAAAGTATGCCAGCATGTTTTCTAGAGGATATCAAAAGAAGCAAGTTTCTAACATAATTTATTGCAGATTTCTTTTTCTCTTTACATAGTTGGTTGCTTAGTTAGAAAACACTGCATCACCAATGTCAGGAAGTCCTAAGCCCTCTACATTTTCCTATGATGGTTCACAAGTTTTCAATAAAATATTATGAAGGATTTCACTTCCATCCTTTTTAAGATTTGAAAAGATCATTTTGAAAGGATTTATGTACAAAGTTTAAGTAGAATTTAGATGGCTATTTTATTAGAGAAATATTTCAGGAGGTACTGTAATGCAGTAGAAAATTTTGCTTCATGTTTTAAGGGTTTAATGGTCTTCTGTTTATTTTTCACTTTCCATGGCTTTCAAAACCAGTATCCTGTCACTCATTATAGTTCCTTATCTTTATTTTTTTCTTAACACTTTTAACAGTGTGGAAAGTTACATATTTTTTCACTCATTTCTGTGTCCTCCCACTGGATTGTACACTTCTTGGGAACACATGTTTTGTTCATGCTAAATATTTTGTGCTTGGCACATAGTAGGTGATTGGTATTTGTTGACAGAATGGGGTCTTCTCTTGACCCCTGTGCTTTCTGCTTTGGACAGGGCTCTATTTCACTGTTCACAGTCTCCTGCTGTGTATCCTGAAATCCTGATTCTCATTCAGACTCCATCTTTTCTAAAAACCTTTCTTTTAAATCCTTGCTTTTTGAAAGAAGAATAGTCCTGGATTGCCCAGGATATGGTAAGTGCAAATGATTACTTGTAATGACAAGTTAGTGATTAGTAGACAAATATTCAGTGAATAGTCATAAGTTAAAATTCATTTAATTTGAGAAATATAATAATTGTGATTTGAACTTGATTATAAGTCAATAAGATTAAGGGAAAATAGCTAGGAAAACAGTTCCCAGAATTTGTGATTATACAAATTATGCACTCTACAGAAAATATATCACTTTTACATTTCATTATGTGGAGGTGAAGTTTCTGAAAGAAGAGAAATAAGACTAAAGAAATATATTTTTTT